ATATGAGTTGACACTTGATTGTCTCGTTCACATGATTCCCTAATAGTTTCTTGTGTGATATTCTCGGGTCTAGAGTTAAATTTAAAGTAACCAATCTCTACTGAAAACCACTTTTCCAGACACCTTCCTAGATTTGTTTTCTCAGTATAACATCCTTTCCTCTAGAGCTTCCCACAATTCTTGTATCCATTTATTGTACGGATAATTGGATAATTCGATTTATCGTATGGATAACTGGATAATTCGATTGGATTATCATCCAATCAAGTATACTTGAGCATGTGTTTTAGTGAGAAAGACATCCTAGGTGTGAGTCCTGACTCCCCCTTTACTGGATAAGTCATTCGACTTCCTGGAAACTTAGTTTCCTCGCTTCTAAGATGTTACCTCTCAGGGACATTGTAAAGATAAGATGGAGTTATTTATGTGACAGTGATTGTTAAACAGTAAAGCCTTGCTCAAATGAGAGGTTAAATCACTATTGTGATCTCAGTGCCAAGTGAGCTCAGCTAGTTACCTGATATACTGATGAAATTATAGGCTTGAACCAAGTGAGCTGGTTCTTCTAGATTTGTGCCACAGGGGTCAATAAATTTCATAACTAATAAAAATTGATAGGATGGATGGAGAAAACTACAAAGCATATCCTGGTGGGTCAACAAGGTTATCTTCATAAATAAAAGACAGATAGCATACTGTCACCTCAATCTGCCTTAAGGCATGCAGTATCCCAGGTTCTCAGAAGAAACTGACAGTCCCCATATTTCCAGCTGTGGTACAATAAATCAATAAGGTAATATATTATGCCTAAGACAAGCATTTGTTTGGTGTGTTTTTTTGTTTTTGTAACTGAATTCAGGTTTTAAGACTGAACATGGGCTGCGTGCAGTGGCTCATGCCTATAATGCCAGCACTTTGGGGAGGCTGAGGCAGGCAGATTGCTTGAGCCCAGGAGTTGGAGATCAGCCTGGGCAACATGTGAAAACCCCGTCCTATAAAAATAATACAAAAAGTAGCCAGTCATGGTGGTGTGCACCTGCAGTCCCAGATACTCAGGAGGCTGAGATGGGAGGATCGCTTGAGCCCGGGAGGCAAAGGCTGCAGTGAGCCATAATCATACCACTGCACTCTAGCCTGGGCAGCAAAGCAAGACCTTGCTTGTCTCTTAAAAAAAAAAAAAATAGTGTGGATGGCAAAACATATTGAGACTGTAAGTACCGTAGCAGTCATCATGTGTAAAATTCAGAAAGCCAGGGCCTAGGCCTCTAGAGACTGAAAGACAGATCTAGGACATGGGCAAGAGGTGTGTGTGCCTCACCTTCTTCTCTCGGGTTAGGCTGTGAACTCCTGTCCCCCTTGGCCCCCGTCAACAGATAGTAGCTGAATTAACTGGCTGAATAAGGAAGACTGAAGACTAAACTCCTCGCAGAGGTAGAAAGACCCAGCAGTACTTGGTGAATGCATTTATCCAAGGGACTTGAAGGAGAGAAAAAGCTTAGAAAAAATAGCTAAGAAATGTATTTAGTTCTATTGAGATTTAGTTTTAGCATGGTGTACACTGTGTGCAATAAGCCCCAAAGATGCCAAGAATATTTTCTACCGCATTACAAATGAAAACCAGCTTCCATGCAGATGGGATTCGGAATTTCAAACCCCGGTAAATCTGTCTGCCTTCTATTACAGAAACTACTTTAACTATTCCAAGCAAATGCTTAATAATATTATTTCCCCTTTTTTTTTTTTTTTTTTTTTTTTTTTTGAGACGGAGTCTCGCCTCTGTAGCCCAGGCTGCAGGTGCAGTGGCCGATCTCCAGCTCACTGCAAGCTCCGCCTCCCGGGTTCACCCCATTCTCCTGCCTCAGCCTCCCGAGTAGCTGGGACTACAGGCGCCCGCCACCTCGCCCGGCTAGTTTCCTGTATTTTTTAGTAGAGACGGTTTTCACCGTGTCGGCCAGGATGGTCTCGATCTCCTGACCTAGTCGTGATCCGCCGTCTCGGCCTCCCCAAAGTGCTGGGATTACAGGCTGAGCCACCGCGCCCGGCCAGTTTTTTGTATTTTTTTTAGTAGAGATGGGGTTTCACCGTGTTAGCCAGGATGGTCTCGATTTCCTGACCTCGTGATCCGCCCGTCTCAGCCTCCCAAAGTGCTGGATTACAGGCTTGAGCCACCGCGCCCGGCCCTTATTTCCCCTTCTTGATGTTTAAAGTATTTTTAAAAAGAAAAATGAATTTGATTTCTAATAGATACTCTTTAAAATTCAGAATCTGGCCAGGTGCGATGGCTCATGCCTGTAATCCCAGCACTTTGGGAGGCTGAGGCAGCAGCTCACCTGAGGTCAGGAGTTTGAGACAGCCTAGGCAACATGGGCAAACCCCATCTCTACTAAAAAATACAAAAATTAGCCAGGCATGGGACCTGTAGTCCCAGCTACTTGGAAGGGCTGAGGTAGGAGAATGGCTGAAACCCGGGAGGCGAGGTTGCAGTGAGCAGAGATCGCACCACTGCACTCCAGCTGGGTGACAGAGGGAGACTCTGTCTCAAACAAAACAAAACAGGACAAAATGAAACAAAAAAATTCAGAATATTTGTTTAAGCGAAACAAATATATGTTTTTACTCTACAAGTGAAACAATGTTATGGTTTTACTCTACAAGTAAATACTTATAGAGGAAATCCTACAAGAAATAGAAATTTCTTTGTCCTTTAATGAAATTGTGTTAAAAATGAATAAAACATACTTTCTCTCCAGGGGTCTATAGCTTAAGCAGAAGACTTTACAGTAAATGTCACAAGAAAAAGCAGCACTTTGCACAGGGCCCCACGTCCCTCACTCCTCACCCTCTCCATTTCCAGGCTCCCAGTCTTTTTCATGTTGTTTAGTGGGTGGTTGTGGTCCTCCTGAGTGGATTTTAGCCTTCCAGTCACTCGGTTACCTTATATGGTGAAGGTTAACTAATAACATAATCATTGATGACTTCTAAGTCATGTTTAATTTACTTTTCTGAAGTTCTCTCAAAGAAACAGAGGATTACTGACTCAGTTTACCTCCAGAATTGAAATAACTGAGAAAATCCAAGAAAAGAATCTCTCAGTCTCAGTTATATTGATGTGTTTACGTTATAATTCCAGAGCCAGTAATATTACTATACTCCATAGATATGTTGTATTGTTTATAATCTCCAAACAAAACTCTCTAAGTATTATTCATCATATGGAACAGAACATGTTCAGAGGAGTAAGTGGCTTTTTTATAACCAGTCAACATGGCAGAAAAAATATCTAAAACTCAAACCTCTGTGGGTAGTACCCAAAATCCTAAGCATCTTCTCCCATGAATTTCCTACCTAGTTGAAATTTAAAACTTGCTCTCCAGAATTTAATCATCCAAAGAATGTGCACATTAAATAAATAATGTGTTCTAAAGACAATTATTATGCATTAAGCATAAAATCAAATATACCTCTGAAACCTTTTTAAGTATGTGAAATTATGATAAGCAATGGCATTTTCTTTTTCCAGTCAAACATATATTAGAACAATTTCTAAACAAATACCTATTAAATACCTTATGATATCATGTAATTTGTTAATAATACCCAGAACATTGATTGCAATTATCATGCAATACACCTAGTTCTTCTAAGTTTTACCTTTGATTTGTCCCTCAAGGGTTGCGAAAGCGTATTCTATAACTGGAAAGTTGTCCCCTGATTCCACAGAGGTAATCCCTAGGCTTAGTTCCCACCAACCACAGAGACATAATAATTTCTTTTACTCATGTTGTAGCTCATTGAGGGTCTTCTGTCTTGGTGAAGGCCAGGTTTTGCAGTA